TAGGTTGTTACTTAATTTATCTTGAATTTTCCATCTTCATATTCAGATTTTATAGTTGTGTTCAGGGCCGGACTGAAGGTACAATACGGGCCGGGCGTATTTCCCAAAGCAAAACAATTTTTTTTTTCTCAAATTTCAAGGTCGACTGCTTAATATATGCAATGTAAACACACAGAATAAATACACTTCTTCGATACCAAGAACAATAAACAAAATATAATAAAACTAATGAACATAAAAGAGGCGCTTTACATCAGCTTTGTTCAATATGGGGAGGGCGAGGGGGAGGGGGTAATTCGTGCCACGGGGCTGACATGAAGTAAAGAAGCGCCGCAGGTGAAATATTTTGTTGTTCAAGGTCAAATGCCTTCAAATTGATAGTTAGGTTTTTCAGAGGGGTATCATAAAGGTGGGAAAAATGATTTCAAATTCAATGAAAATTTAAATTTCCTAATAGCAACAAATATCGAATTTTAGTCTCAAGTTTACTTCGAAATAAAAAAATGCTTGATTCGGTAAGACAATTTAATGAATACGTAAATCACATTATTGTTGATGGTTTTTTAATTTCTCCACTTAAAGACTGTCCAAATCGCGACATTTCTACAGATCATAAACTTTTCTAACAATGCAAATTTGGAAAAAAATTACATACAAACCATCAAAGATTTGTTTACAGTTTTGGTTGTCATATGTTAAATTTCCGTTCTGTTGCTGGAAAAGTTAGGGTAACATTGTTTCGCTGTCATAATGACAAAATCACAGCGGCTTACGGGATGTTATGTACATAAATTGAATTAAATCATGAAAATCATCCATATCTCAAAGTGGCCCAAAGTAATTTCAAAAGAAGTGTGGTCGACCGACTTTGAGACATTTGGTGTTTTTCTTTTATAAATTAAATTGTCACAATGAAAAAGGACATTACACGCTGCAGTTTTGGCATTTTTTGGCGTATATTGGCCTCGGCTAACGCCTACATTACGCCCTTGATACATAAATAACTATTTCAGAAGATTTCAATATGAAAGCCTCCAGATCTTGGGACAGACAGTTTCATACTCTATTCAAAATTAATTAATTTAGAAAAGTACTTCTTACATAGTTACATGCATAACTTGTGAAATAGACACGTCAATGAATATCTTTATACCTTTGGTTCCTGGTTGCAAGGTCCGACGTTTTTACAACAAAGTATTGAATTTTGGCCCATAGAACCATAAGATTGAATTGGAAGATTCTCAAATGAAGCTGATATTGAATATGATGCAAAGTATCCCATAGTTTTGGACCCGAAGACCCAGCTGCTAGTAGATCACTTTCACATGGAATTTGGCCATTTTGGAATCGAGACTGTTGTGAAAATTTGCATCTGATATAGGGGAAACTGCATCCTCACGCCACAGTTAAAAAAAGCTTCCATAAATGTCAATTGTGCTGAATTCGAAATGCTAAACCAATGCCTCCAATAATGGGTAATCTACCAGCAGAGAGATTTGAATCAACATTGTTTCCCTTTACTTATGTTGGCATAGATTACTTTGGGCCGATGCACTTATCGGTCGCAGGACAAAAAAGGTATGGTGTCTTATTTACATGTCTCACCGTTAGAGCTGTACACATTGAGTTGGCAGCAACATTGGATACACGCTCTGCAATAATGGTTGAATAAACCGAGAAAGAATTAATATTTTCATAAATATATCTGAGAATATTCCTTTTCAATACTTTCACCCAATCAAGGGGTTCAAACTTGATCGATGGAAACTTGTTATTTCTATAGACCTCAATCGCAGATTCGTGATTAGGTTTTCTCAATTCAGAATTTCTTTCCACGTCCTGTATGATGAATGTCAATTTATCATACATCCAAAAAAAAAGTAATATGGAGCTTCTTCTAGTGCAGTTAGATTCGAAATAATATTTCCAGTGGCGCCACAGTGAGTAAATTTATCGATATTCATGGTGAATGTCATTGTACAGTGTGTCCAGTTTTCGATGCTTTTGCATGATATCTCAGTTATCTTTGGAGATAGAACCTTGCGGTTTTCGCGGTCCTGTGCCAGTTTTTTGTGAAACTCAAGATGGCCTTATCAGATTTCACAGGACTGTTTCCGTTTATGAGATACAGGACGATTTTGAAAATTTATACTTTTTGGACCCCCTCTATATCTACGAAGTTTATCAGCAGAAATGTCAAATTAAAATCTTAGTCCATAGAGAACTTCATGCAGAATCCAGTGGCGCACAAACATTTTTTTTGGGGTATGGTTTTGAAGATACGACTCAAACTTATGATTTTTTAAATTGAACACCCTGTATTTTATAAACTCATTAAATTCCTTATTTTTTTCCCTTCGAAATGATATATGATGTATGAATATAACATTTTCAAAAATGTTCAAAAAATCACTAAAACATTGAATTTTAATAGTGGGCTATGGGGTTTTCAAGGGATTTTCATATAAAGAAATTTACAATTGAAGGAATATATCCTTTGATTGTTCCATGAAGGGGGAAATAACAATTTCAACACTAATTAACTTGCAAAACACAAGACTTAGATACCTGATATCCACAAATATATAGTAATAAAAAGTTTATAATGTAGAATAAGCACCTGATAGAATATTCACTAAAACAATTGAATTTCGGAATAATTCAGTGATTTATTCATTGAATTGTTCAAATTGATGTCCATTTTCCATCACAAACTTTCTCAATACATATTAATCATTGAAAGATGTCTTTGTAATTCCTGGAAAACTGCCTCTATTGTTGCACAAAGTTCTTCAAGTATGTTGGGCCACTCACTGTATCAAGAAGTATTAAGAAAGTTTGTCAACTGTATGTTAGGGAAAATGGATATCAATTTGAACATGTCAATGAATAAGTTACTAAGAAGAGCAATTCGCCTGGTGGGTGACGCCACTCTCACTCACTCTTTGACATCATTGGAACACCGTAGAAAGGTCGGCGACCTTTCACTTTTCTATCGATACTTCCACGGGAAATGTTCTTCAGAAATCTCTGCTATCATCCTTTCACTAGCAATGCCAATCAGACGAACTAGAAAAGCTCAGTCAGCACATCCTTTCGTTGTCAACCTCGAAAGATGTCGAACAGCACTTTATCAGGACTCCTTCATCCATAGAACGGCTAGGCTCTGGAATTCATTGCCTGTGGAAGTATTCCCAACATCATATAATCTCCAAAAGTTCAAGAAAAATTCCAATACCTACCTCCTGTCCCTATCCTCCCTAGGAACGCACGATTTTCTTTGAACATTATAGGGATTCCCTTTCGTGCGCTCCAAGCGATAAAAAAAATCAGGTGTTTATTCTACATTATGAACTTTTTATTACTATTTATTTGTTGCTATCAGGTACCCAAGTTTAGTATTTTGTTAATTAATAAGTGTTGATATTGGTTTTGACCTCTCCATGGAAAAATTTAAAGAAATATGTCTCCAAATGGAACGTTTTTTATAAGAAAAATCCATAACCAACTATCAAAATTCAATATTTTAGTAATTTTGAGCAATTTTGAAAATTTTATATTCATCCGTTATATATCATTTTTGAGACAAAAAAATAAGGAATCAAATGAGCTTATGAAATACAGGGTGTTCCATTCAAAAAATCATAAGTTTCAGTCGTATCTCCAAAACCATACCCCGAAAAAAAAAATTAAGTGCGCCACTGGATTATGCGTGAAATTCTTTATGCGATAAGATTTTGATTTGACATTTTTGTTGAGAAACTTCGTGGATATAAAGGGGGTTCAAAAAGTATCAATTTTCAAAATCACCCTGTATCTCATGAACGGGAACAGTCTTGCAAAATCTGATAAGGCCATCTTGAGTTTCACAAAAAAGTGGCACAGGACCGCGAAAACCACAAGGTTCTATCTTCAAAGATAACTGAGATATCAGGCAAAAGCATCGAAAACCGGACACACTGTACACCACCGGTTTTTCTGAGTTTCATATTCTTTTCAGATTGACCTATTGAAATAACAACTTTTTTATCCTTTGTGTGATTTTTGTATTCAGCTTAGTTCTTGAGGAAACAATAAAAATTCGATTTGACTCCAAATTTTAATGTAGGTGTTTTCAAGACTTCCATTGAGATTACTCAATAACCCTAATTAGAATATCTTTTTGAAATTTTGGGGCTTCCTCAGTCCCCATCCATACTGAATTTTGGGACCTTGAAAGCTTATACAGGGGGGGGGGGTTATAAATAAAAACGATACTTCCAAACTTCAACATCCTGTAACTCAAAACGGAGCAAGTTAGTACACATGTTTATACAGGGTGTTCCCTATAATGATATGCTAATATTCAAGGGGCCGATTCTTCGACCCATTTCAAGAATAAAACTTCATATGAACGTATATGTCGTAAACGTCCTAACTTTTGAGATACAGGGTGTCAATGTTGAGAATATGCATAGATTATTTTTTTGTCTACCTTGTATAGCATGTCGTGATGGCGAAATTCAGTCTGCTATGTGACTTAATCGGTATACAATGTTCAAAATGTTACATACTGTGACTGTGGTTATCCAGTAATGGATCTCCTGAATGGAGTACTCAGACATCAAAATTTGAAGTCTGGTTTCGTTTTTCCGTTTTTTCCGAAAACGAAGCGTTTTATCGAGTATCAACAAGAGGATTTTTTTGTACATAATTAAATACGAGATTAAATAGCCTTCTATGACATTATCAAAAAACTGAATATTTTTCAAAACTTCATCACCCTGTATCTCAAAAGTTACTACTTTTAGGACATACGTCCATATGGAGTTTTCTTCTCAAAATAAGTCGAAGAACCCCCTTGAATATTAGTATGTCTTTTAGGAACGCCCTGTATATGAACTTTATTTGCTAGAATGTCACAAGGAAACACCTCTTGAATTTTTTCTGTGTTATTCAGATACACCCTGTATATCCAAATGATGTTACATTTGATTTTTGGTAATCATTGACTGGACTATGAGAGTTCAAGTTCCTGTCCCACCTGTTGAATGTTTAGCATGGCAAGGACATGGAGAATCCAATATCCGATAGTTGCGGTTGCGCTGACGTTTCATGTTTTATTCTGGTTCTCGTTTTTTTTGTACCCCAGCGTTGCCTTGGTCTACGGACGAATCACTGTCTTATTACATAAATTGCACATCCACGTATTTTATTGCTTGCCCGAAATGTGGGTTGTGTCGACGGGTATCGTCAGTTTCGTGTTTGTGACTCGTTGTGAAAACATACAAAAAATGTGTGCATGTGTGATCAGTAAATAAATGAACGAAAGTGGCTTTTCTAGGTTATGTTTACGTCAACAGATCGCCAGATAGTGAGAAATATTCGCATATATGCTTGACGATTTCCTATTACCTACTACATTTGTACCAGTACTGAGACCATCAGTAGCTATACCAGTGATGATACTGAAAGTAGAAACTATCATCCAGTTTTCTGATTCACGGGATTCCAATGTCGATATTGATTTTTATGTGCGTTTTTGATTCCACTGAATTTGAGTGACCATTTGACACGATTTGACCAAAATTATACGTGGGTCTACAATAACTGTACGCACACTACGATATAAAATGTTCTTAAACTTCTGATGTTTCTTCAAAAAATCTACCTATAGTTCGCAATAATATATGCGCCAGTAAATCAGCCAATAACAACCAGGGTAGTTCGTATAAACTTGTATGTATTGGAGCTTATAGTTTTCGACTTTTCGACGCAATAATATGCGCCAGTAAATCAGCCAATAACAACCAGGGTAGTTCGTATAAACTTGTATGTATTGGAGCTTATAGTTTTCGAGATAGTTGACATTTATAATATTATTTGAATTATTCCATTATCACCCTGTATAAGCTTTGTGAATGCCGAAATTCCATGTGGTCGGTCCAAATTATACTCATGGCTATCGAGTAATCCCGTAATCCCATAATGAATGTCTTGAATTATACATTGAAATTTGGGGTCATAGGTATGAGATCTTAATTTTTTTCTTTTGGCAACTACAAGATTCTAAAAAAATTCATGTAGAAAGAAAGTTCTATCTCCTATTGTTGAATCGTAAAAAAATGAAACTTGTGAAAAACAGGCATAATGATTTTTGAGATAAATATCAATCAGAACCCTCTAAGCTAAGACGTCACTGGAATAATTCCAAAAGATACATTTTCATCGTTTTCACATTACTTACAAATCTTCTTGATCAAACGAAAATCAACTAAAGTTTTTGAGCTGTGAATGATGAACTATTTTTTTCCAGACTTCAACAGCTTGTATGTCGTAATAGAAGCTTCAAAGTTCAAAACATACAAGTTCACATTTACATTTACAATTCATTCCTCGATTCATCCATGACAGAGTCCATCATATTGTTGCTACATCGTTGGAGTCACTTGAATCTTGAAAGCGATGAATGTTGATAGCCAAACTAGCCAATGATTGGGTTGAGACGGCAACGCTGTTTACCTGACTACCAATAGACGGTTGGCGCGTTATAGTACTTGTGACGTCAGTAACGCTGAAGATGTTCCGTCCGGGAATTTATTTTGAGAAATCTAGATGCAATAATAGTTATTTATTATACAAGGGGGAAAAAAGTTGTAGATTTCAGCTCGAGGTTGTGTTGTCTGTCATATCCTGAATCCTCTCTAATCTGGTCCGATTCTGACCAATATGGTAGGTATCTTTTGGTCAAATCTTAGACAAGTTATCACCAATGCTGATGTTTATTTCCACGAAATTCGTACAATCTTAGATAAATCCCGTTCAATCTGGTTCAATCTCTGCCACTCTCGACCATTTATATTTTCATTATCTCTACTCTACAGTCGTGTCAATTATTATCTTTCTAGTTTGAGTAATTTGGATTGATCAGAATATTTTGTCATTTGTTCCAATTGTCCATAATTCTCCCAGTCCTTGTTCAATCTGTCCATACCTTGTCCAATTCGCCCAATCCTGGGCATATCTGTCAAATCCTGAATCCCGTTCAATCTGGTCCAATTTGGCATGTTTTAGTAAAATCTCGTCCAATCTTCACCAATAGCAATTCATACAATCTTAGACCAATCTCGACTAATTATATTTACATTTTCTGTCCAGTCTCGTTAATTATTATCCACATCCATTTTGATCAATGTTGATTCAATATTTCCCTAATCAGAAATGTCCGAAGAAATATCAGAATATTATCGCATTTTTGTTCCAATTGTCCAATTTGTCATCATATCCTGAAACCCCTCTTAACTGATACGATCCTGTCCAATCTGGAATAGTTAGAATTTAACTCTTTCAATATAATATAAATGTACCATTTTTATGGACGCGAGTGCTGAGATAAGTGAGATAAAGAAGAGTATTTTGTATAAACGACAGTGATAATTTATGGTCTGATTTATAATCATCCATCTCCTCATTAATTTATAATAATTTATATAACTTTCTTAAAAATTTCAAAACATTAATTATTTATTTTATTTCATAATATCAGATGAGAGATGAATCGTTCACATTATCGTAGGTAACAAGCTCGGTAACAAGCCTAGTAAATAACTCACATTTTACTTGATTCACCTTCCAAAAAACATCAAAGCCAAAAAACGTATCTTTTTGTAAAAATTCCACACTGGAAAAATTGTTTCGCTTGCATGTCTAGCTCTTATCTTCAACTTTAAGACTTCATAATTATACAGTCTGTCCTGTGGTTGCACAGCATGGGGATCTCGGAAACGGTAGGAGATACGAAGTCGGTTAAATGGGGAAAAAGTTGCGCATTCGGAGGCTCATACCAATAGCCTTCGAAAATTATCAAAATTGTTTTTAGTTTTTCAGTTATATCGAAAAAAGTGAATTTTTGGAATACCTATTTTATGCTTTTTCTCCGTTATTATTAGAGATACAGAAAATCTGAAAATACTTTTTCATAGGAACTTTTGATAACGTTTAACGTGGTGATACCGATTTTTTATGCGACGTTTTGTATTTGTAGAACCATCATCAACTTTTGTTTTTTATATACGGTCCTCATAATTCTTCCATCACAGATTCTGAAAGCTTTTTTCATTCTGAATTCAACCATGTATTTATATCTATTTCTATCTATCATCAATGTTTTTTCGAAATTCCAAAGGAAAAATTAAATACTGAAAAGTGAATAAAAAACAATTCTGCCATTTGATAGATAGACTTATTTTTTCCTCTAATATATTTTTGTTTTGTTCTTTCTGTCTATCAATAAAAGCGTTTATTATTATTATTATTATTATTATTTCACATCGTACGAAAAGAAGTGTAGGAACAAAAAGATGCACTATTTTAACAGCATTAGCGTGATAGCTTCTGTTCCTCAGCTCATGTTGAAAAATTCGCTGGAAAAATCAATTTTTTATACGACCATAGCAATTACGCCCTCCAGCGGTAGATATAGAAACTAAAAAACTGTTTCCAGCAATTTCCTTTGGTTGATTTCCTCGATAGAATTTTTTTCTCAACCTCGTACGACTTCTAGTTCCTGAGATATAGTACCTCGCTACCCTTAATGAATCACCCGGTACAATAACCATGACAATTTAATTCATGTATGAAAAATCCTACAAGCCGCGTGATTTTGTCATTATGAGCGAAAAATGTTTGCCCTAACTTTTCCATTGACAATAACGGAAAATAACTTGACATGAAAACATGACTTCCAGCCATAATAGTACATTATATACCGCGGGACTGAAGTAGTACATTTAATCCTGAAGGTAAAGTTTATGGCCCGACCGCAGGGAGGGCCATAATTTACCTGAAGGATTAAATGTACTTCAGTCGCAAGGTATATACGATACTTTTCGTACTTCCGGTATGATTTTATTAATTATTTCAATAATTTCAATCAGTTTTTTCTCTCTTCAACTCATTTAATAAACTGTCTTTAAAATAAGTTACCATAGTAACATTGCGTTGTGACAGTTATAATTTAGAAACATTGTCATTACTAGTGTCATTGTAAAGAAACATTGTTATTGATAATTATTGGTATCATGAGTGAAGAAGGTGTATCTGATATTGATAAAAGAGCAGCCGAAGTAGGTGAAGAATTGTTACCACCGAAATCTAGAAAACTATACGAGCAGCAGTACGATGCTTTTAAAAAGTGGTGCCGCTTAAAAAATGTGAGACAACCTACTGAAGATGCGCTGTTAGTCTACTTCGATGATAAATCAAAAGCGGTTTGTGCCTCAACTCTCTGGGCACATTACTCAATGCTGAAATCGGTTATTAACATTAGAGAAGATATTGATATAAGTAAATTTCCAAAATTATTAGCTTTTTTGAAGAGAAGAAATGAGGGATTTAAGCCAAAGAAGTCAAGAATTCTCACGTCTGAGCAGGTAGATCAGTTCTTACGGGAGGCTCCGGATGATAAATATTTAATGCTTAAGGTAAATTTGGAAATTTGTTTATATTCAGAAATTTTAAGAAATCAATTTTTTTGTAGGTTGCACTTATTTTGGGCGTTGCGGGAGCTTGTCGTGGAAAAGAGTTGGTTGATTTAGAAATCGACGATGTGAGAGATTTGGGCGATTCCTTCCTAATTGCGATTAGAAACACCAAAAATAAAATTGTTTGTGATTTAATCGTTCCGGGAGTTTCGTCAATATTTAATCCCGGAGGGATTAAATGTGACACTTTAGTACCTGTCACAAGGGAGTGAAGTTGTCACTTTAGGCCCGGAAGTACGAAAACAAATATTGATGAATTAAATTGTCTTACCGAATTACACTCTAGCTTTTTTTATTTAGCCGAAGAATACTTGGCATTTATAATTCGAATTTTGTTTTTGTTGCCATTAGGTAATTCAACTCAAAAAACTGCCAGAACAAATTACTCGTCCTACGGACTCGTAATTTTTTCAGAGGCGGTTTTTTTCGTCAAATTGTCAGGCAACAAAATTCTTAATGAAACATGTCAAGTTCACTTCGACAAAAAAAAGCTGTCGTGTAATTATAAGTGACAATAACAATCGATCAAACATGAATTTGCTGTGGTTTATTATACCTGTACCTATTTACCTACCTTGTGTATCCAAAATGGAAAATTTATGTATTCATGAGTACACAATCATGTAGATGCAGTATAGTTCGTATATGTAATTTGAATCAGCTTACTAAAATTTCAGAAATTAATAATGTCAATTTATATACATTACAAAACATACAGTGCTCTCGTAAAGTACTCAATGAATTCAATTTTAGCCAAACTATTTATTTCAGAGCAATCTCTTGAAATAGGTCGATTTTTATT